TCCCACCGCCCCCGGAGCCGCCGGGGCTGCCGGGAGTTGTAGTCCCCTCCCCCCCGGCCACCGCCCGCAGAGACTGCGGGCCGAACGCCCCAGCACTACATTGCCCAGGGCACGCGCCTGCCGCGCACAGCCTGGCGGGAGCCGGCGTTCCGCCAAGAAGCGCTTCCGAAATGGCCGCGCGTAGCCCGGCGGGAGTTGTAGTCCGACGCCCTCCTTAGGACTTCGCCAATCGCGGGCGAGGTCGAGGCCGCAGAGACTACAAGTCCCAGCAGCCAGTGCGCGGGGGACTCGCGGGCGGCCGCGGCGATGGCGGTCGATAAGGAGATGTTGGAGCGGGACCTGTACGCGCTGTTGGGCGTCGCGGAGAAGGCGTCGGACAAGGAGGTCAGGGGCCCTCCCACCCCGCCGGGGCCCAAGGCCCTGGGGATGGCGCGGGGCAGCGACCCCTGTGGCGTGCGTGGGGCGGGGCCTGCTCTGCGGTCGCTTTTATCCCCACACCTCCCCCAGCGCTGCCCCGGTCGGCTTCTGCCCCACGGTTACACTGCGCATGTGTTGTACCCCCACTTCCTCCCCGTGCGTGACTTCACAGGCACCCGGCGTGATCCCTACTTTCCTCGTACATCCTCGACGTCTCCTTGGAGGGGCGGGCCCATGCAAATGAGAAGAACGTTGGCGGGCCGGGGTCCTCTAGTCCCCCGGGCCAGGGCTGCCTGGTGCATGACGCCCGGCGGGCCTAGCCCCGGCACAGATGCGGGGCTGGGGCAGGAGGGGTGGCAAGGGGCACTGCCAGGGCACGTAATGTGGCAGCACCTTCTGGCCCTCCAACGAGTTTGGGGCACCAGTGGACAAATCACTTCTCTGTGGGGTTGCCAACCCTCCCGGATTGGCCCCCAGGAATCTACCAGAATCTGCATCAAGCCCCTGGTGACTACTGAAAGCAATCCAGGAGATTGATATTGTGAACAGGTTGAACAGTACAATTAATGACTAGAGGTCCACCGATATGTGGATCACATATTGGATCAGCACCAATATGAGGAAAATTGACCTTATTGGTAATTGCCTTTTTATGCCTTTTTATGGCTGATGTGGCCAATAATGTCTGTGCAGCTGTAGCACAGCATGCAGGCAGCCAGGAGCTCAGCCCAGCAGTGTGGAGAGCAGCTGGGTTTGGCTGGTAAATCTGTTGTGAAGGAGGGGGTGGGGCCCCCCTGGTGATGGAGGGAGTGGGGCTGGGGCAGGGACAAGGACAAGGGCAGGTGCTGCACAGCCGGGGCGGAGTGCAGGACAGAGCCACAAGTGGCTCTTACAGGGTGGGGCAGATGACACCAAGTTACGGAGGAGCGTGGTCATGCCAGAAGATAGGTTGCAGATACAGGTAGACCTGGACAGGCTGGAGAGTTGGGCCGACCAGAACCAGATAAAGTTCAACACTCAGAAGTGTAAGGTGCTCCATCTGGGGGCAAACAATCCCCAAAATACTTGCAGGCTCGGTGGCAACAATTTGACTTGCGCCACGGCCGAAAGGGACCTAGAAGTAGTGATCCACCATTGTATGAACATGAGCCAGCAGTGTGCTGCTGTGGCCAGCAGGGCAAACAACACATTTGCAATCATTAACTGTTGTATCTCATGCAAAACTAAGTGATACTCCCACTGTACTCTGCACTGGTAAGGCTGAAGCTGGAGTGCTGTGTCCAGTTCTGGGCACTACACTTCAGCAAGGATGTGGAAAAACTTGAGAAGGTCCAGAGAACAGCCATCTGTATGATCAGGGACTTGGAAGACAAGCCGTACGAGGAAAGGCTGAGGGACTTGAGCCTCTTCAGCCTACAAAGAGAAGGCTGAGAGGGGACTTGGTAGCAGCTTACTGCTGCATTAGGGGAGTACATCAAGAACTCAGTGAACAGCTGTTCACCAGGCCACCCCTGGGGAAGACCAGGAGCAATGGGTACAAACTCCTGGAAGGCTGCTTCAGGCTCAATTTCAGGAAAAACTCCTTCAGAGTCAGGGTGTCCAGGCTGGAGTAAACTCCCTCCAGGGGTGGTGCAGTCACCTATTCTGGAAATCTTCAAAAGGAGACTGGACAGTCACCTTGCTGGGGTCACTTGACCCCACTGGTTGTCTTTTCCTGCCTAGTGCAGGGGGACTGGACCCAATGTTCTACAAGGTCCCTTCCAGCCCCTAACAATCTATGAAAGTGCCTTCAGATTTGCACTCGGGGCGGGTGGCGGTGATGTTGGGACAGGGGCTATGGCAAATTTTGGGGTGACTGCAGCCCCTCCCAGCTCTGCCACCACCCACCTTGAGTGCAGCCTGGCTCATCCCCTGCTGGGAAGAGCACCACCCTAGCCCCACCCAGCACCACCCCAGCCCCAGCCTGCAGTGGCAGCCCAGCCTCACCCCACGCGCAGATCCAGGGGCACATGCCCCTCATGCTGCACACAGATCTGGGATGTACGCAGCAGCAGAAGCCACCCCCATACCCCCCAGCCACTCTCGGCTTCGTCCCGCACTCTGCCCAGCAGTGCCTGTCCCAGCCCCACTCCCTCCCTCACCACGGGGGCCTCGATCTGTGCCCCCCCATGCCCCTTCCCCCATCGCCCTTTCCCCCACTGCAGACTTACCAGCCACATAACTGCCTGGCTGCATATTGGCAATCGGATCGGTATTGGGCGATATGGCTTGTTAAAAATTGGCCATCAGCCCAAAAAATCTCTAACAGTGCACCCCTATTAATGACATTATGTCATGTTGGGGAAAAAAATCTCCTGGAATAGCTTCAGTCAGAGTTGGCAACCCTACCTTTTCACTGCTTGTGGGGTAAGATCTAGTGTAGGGAGTATCTGAAGCCCCGGACTAAAGAGTCTGCGATGGAGGATGCTTACCTGTAGTATCTGGGGGCATCCGCACCCCAAGAGCCCTGGGCTTGGACCTGCACATAGGATGCCTGCCAATGGATTTGGGAGCATGCGAAGTCCCAGGGTGAGAGGTTGGGATGAAGGATGCTCATCAGTTGCAGCACCATACATGGTATTTAGAACAATTGAGTTCTGCCTGCTCAGTCGATATGGTTTTTGGAGTGATTGAGTTCTGCTCAGTTGATATGATTTGGAGTGGATTTGGCTAATTTGACCTGGAACACAAAATACATTTTTAAAAAATAAATAAATAAACAAATCTCTGGCTGGAGATTTGGCCGGCCCATTGTTTTACCCTCAGGACAGTGTGGGTCTGGGCTGGCCATGTAAAGCTAGAAGCCTTCCTTAAATGGGGCTGCTGAGAACATAGCAGAGGAGGTTGACCAGGAGGTCTTGGTGGGGCCAGGGGTGGGGAGTGCACCAAGGAAAAGGCAAGCAGAGCAGTGCAGCCAAAACCTCAGCAAGAGGCTCTTTGGGGCAAGGGCAGGAACGGGGTGGCTGGAGTGAGGGGGCGGAGGCTGAACCTCCAGCTGGAGGGATGGGGGGAACAGCAGCTGGCACAGGTTAACCCCTCACGCCTTCAGGCTGCTGGTTGGATCTAAAGCACAGACTGGATACGAAGTGACAGTGCACCTAATATAGCTGCTCTTCTGCTCAGCCTAGTGGTAGGATCCAGAGGTGCGTTTGGGTCCAGCTTTTCATTCCACACGTGGCTGTCCCCAGATCAGGAAAGCAACCGGCTGCTTTATGGTACCTCAGCTTTTCTCTAGGCTCCCGGGTTGTGTGGGGACCTGTCTCAGCCTCAGTGTAAATTAAAGCAGTCTCAGGGTTGTTGTGGTTTGTGCATGGCGTGGCGGCCTTATCTGTGATAAACCAGCGTCCTTATTTCCAATCTGTATTATTTCCCTCTTTGGAAACGCAGGAGCAAAGGTTGAACGTGACGAAAGGAACAGCAGAATAACTTGTGGGGCTACATGTTTTTAACGCCTTGTAGCATACTCCTTTCCCCCACTTCTCTTCACGCCCCCCCCCGAGGCAGCAGTGGTGGCTCCCCCCCCCCCCCGCCCCCCCCCCCCCCCCTACAGTAATTACCTGTATTTTAGAAACTGTTTGTTGGGTATTGGTTGTTTGTTAATTGTGTGAAGTAATTTTTCTTGTTTGGCCTTGGATACTTTTATTAATAACCAGCATGGCATTTGGAGTTTTGCCAGTGTTGCATTGCTCATTCTTACTCATTGTTGATTGTGTTCCTTAATAGTGTTTCCTTGTTTGCTGATTGTAGTCTACCCTGTAGTTGCTGTTATGTCCTCTGTCACCTTGTCTTAAGTACATGGGATGAGATCCTTGTCCCACTAAAGTCAATAGCAAACTTTCCATTGACTTCACCTGGGCAGAATTTCACTTCTGGTGTTTGTTTACAGCCCTTGAGAGGGAAATGTTAAACTTTTAAATATTCTTTGGCAACGCAATAGATTTAAAGTAGCATCAGATCCCATACCCGTTCTTCAGTCTAATTGTCGATATTGAGGTTTCACCATTGCATTTTTCTTGTTTTGTTTTCTTTCTTCTTCTTTTTCCTTATTTTCCTGTGTTAAAGATCTATAGAAACAAATGGGGAAACTGACTCTCCTATAGAAAGTAAATAAGGAAACTGTAAATACCAACTTTTCTGCTGAACAAAGTTAATCTTGTTAAAGTGACGTGAGCAGTAGGGCTGTGTGAAATTTTGCCGGGTGTTTCATTTCGAAGCTGTTTTGATGCATTTCAAGCTCGAAACAACGAAATTGAAACGAAACAAAAGCCTTCGAAACAGCTTTGAAACAAAACAAGGGCACTCAAAACATTTCAAGTTTCAAAGCTGGGCTTACTTAGCATCCCAGCCGGCAGCATCAGCCTCCTGTCATCTGGCGCACAGATCAGGGGAGGGCTGCAGGGCTGTGCCGTATTCCTCTCGGGTGCGGGACCCTGGATCTGTGCGCCAGATGACAGGAGGCTGCTGCTGCTGCCTGGGACTGATGCTGGGCTCAGCCTGTGCTCAACGCCGGAAGATTGGTGGTGTTGCTGGCCCAAGGCAGCAGCAGCAGCCTCCTGTCATCTAGCACGCAGATCAGGGGCCTGCTCCCCTGGGCAGGACTGTCCTGCCTTTCCTCCACAACACCAGAGAGCAGGCACAGGCAGCCCCATGTGGGCTCCAAGTGGCTGCAGCACAGGGTGCTGGCCACTGGGAGAGGGAGCAGCCGCTCCTCCCCATGCTGAGCACCAGCTCGTAACCCGCTGCTGCTGCTAGCCTGGGCCCCATGCCAGCTCCAGGCTCACCCCTTGGGGCTGAGCTGCAGCAGAAGCTGGGCAGAACCTGCTGCTGAGCGTGGAGGAAAGCCCCCCGCCCCTGCTCACCCCTGCCAGGCAGTGTTTGGTGCAGCTGTGCCAGACTCCTCCTGTGGGGTGTAGGCCGCCAGGTCTGCACGCTGGATGGCGGAAGGCTGCCACTGCTGCCTTGGGCCAGCAGCAGCAGCAATCTTCCCTGCGCTGGGTGCAAGCTTTGTTTCAAATACTTGAAACAACTCAGACGTCTGGGCAACCTTTGTTCATCAAAGCAGTTGGTGAAGGGGAGTTGTTATGGTTAGGTGGGCCAGGTGTTTGGAAGCTCTCACTGAGGTCATTATATGGGAAAGTTCTTTTGACTGTCCATGGTGTGGATGACTTATCATTTGAGAAGACTTTACTTTGTTTAGTGGGGTCTCGCCAATAGGTTCCCAATAAAGGGCTATTGCAGGGATCAGCAATGTTTTCCAGCAGGGGGTTGGAATGACCCAGCTCAGGTCTGAGGCAGGCAGACGCTGGGGCCTGGCTTACTCTGTTGCTTCTCCCTGCCGCCTGGCTCTGGCACAGCGCAGAGAAAGCCCTCCTCTGCTGATGCCTCGGGCTCCCAGCTGCGTTACAGTGCAGGGAGAACTCCCCCACCACAGACGCCATGACTCAAAAGCTCAGTGGGCCGGATGTGACCCATGAGCCATAGGTTGCCAAGCCCCTCACATGTTGTTAGCCTCTCATTTTTGTCCACCAGGTGGTGTCTGAATACAACAGGTTTCCTTTTCCCAGTTTGTAAAAGGCCTCCTTTGCAGTTATATAGACACTGTTCTTCTTTCTTGCAGCATTTCTTTTCTTGCACAAAGCATTTTCAAATGGTAAAGAGAATTCAGATGATTAACATCCTGCTCAGTGACTTAGTCTAGAAAACTGTTGTTGACTTGACTCTGAAGTGTCAGAAATACAGTATGTTCATCATCTCTCTAGCACTATCTCCCTAGCTGGGTTTATGGCAGTTACTAATACTACATATTTTGGCCAGAATTTCTTTTCCTTGCCAAACCCTTGCACTGTATGTTATGTGCTATACCCCCCAGGCACATCTGTAAGAACATCCTCTTCCACCTTACACTGAGATACAGTCTTCCAGTCAGTTAATTAGACCTGGTCTTGGCTATGCTATTCCAGTTATTTCTGACCCTGAGATTTGTATCACTGTAACATGCTGTATGTAGGAGTGAAATTTCTATCCTTCAGAAACTCGTTTTGGTTTCAGATGTGGCTCCCTGCGTACTTGGCATCTTGGACTGGAATGTTTTTTTGTTGCAGTATGATGTTAATCAGCAAAGATACTGCTACAGGGAGGTTGCATGTTGGCCCTTAAACAGTCTCTTGTTGTTGCAGAAGGATATTTTCTTGTAGTTAGCTAGCTACCAGTTGTTTCCTTATGCCTTTTATTATTATTTTCTAAATCTTTCAGCCCAGTAGTATGCGTTGGCCCTTCACCGTAATTCATTTATTTAAGTGAAGTGCTTGAGTTTAAATAAAATCCATGCACTTGATTAGAAAATCAAAAAAAAATGACATACATGCTTTTGTCATGGATACCTCTCGCTCTGGAGGGTCATTCTGATCAGTGAATCTCTTTTCTGGCTCCTACAGGTTAAGAAAGCCTACAGACAAAAGGCCCTGACTTGCCATCCAGATAAGAACCCAGATAATCCTAAAGCAGGTAAGATCAATGTGTGTGTATACAAACAGGTTCTCCCTGTCAGTCCCAGCTGCATGGATACAGGGAGTGTTCATATTTGTTTGCTGTAGCACAGCTCTGCTTTTGCCCATAACCCATGGAAACGTCTGCGCATCATGCAGTGTATCCACATCTGTTGGTGGGTAGGAAACGTGTTCAGCAGCACACGGCAACTGAGTCCTGAGGCTAAATGTACAGCTCAAATGGGAGCTGCATACAATTCTCATTTCTGTTCCTGGAAATCTCCCTGTAGATAGGAAAACTCTTTATCTCTATTCTAATGGAAAGTTGATATCCTGTTGTTTATGTTCTGGAAGTGCCTGTTATCAGGAGGTTGTATCCCTGTTAGATGCAAGTCACTGTATGTTGAGCAAAGTGGAGTTAAGTTGTGGGCAGGGTCCCTGCATTCTGCAGCAGCTTCACTTACATTCAGATGAATCAAACCTTAACTGTTTTAAACATTAAAATGAATGAATGCCATTGTTGACTACAAATGTCCAACTCGGGATCCTTAAAAATTCTAGTTTATTAGGCGGATTGAAACACTGTAATCATAAACCTTGGGGCTGGTCCCCACACACATGCACACACACATATATACACACACACACACACAGTAGCAGGCTACAGAGTCAGGTATACCTATCCTACAAGCGCTGGAGTCTGTCGTTGAGGCTTCTTTCAGCGTGGTGTTCTCTTCCAGAAGGGGGTCTCCGGCTGGTCCTTCTGGCTGGACAGGTCTGGTTGAGTTGGAGATCAAGAGGGCACCACTGAGGGTCACTTTTCACTGCCTTTTATCTGTCCGTGGCAGACTTTGGTGACTCCCCAGTTTTCAGGTTTGCCCAATCCAGGGGTCATTGACCCTCGTGGGACTTCCCCCCCTTGGTGGCTACTGGACGGCATCTGTCAGCCCCAGGGGTCGTCCGCATGTACGTGCAGGTTTGGGAGTCCGTTGATGAATTTTGAATAGGGCTCTGGGAGCAGTTGATCTGGAGATACTCAACCCAAAAGTTGGTCCCTGGCGTTGATTAACTCAGGCCAGGGCTTCTAGCCCTTGATCAGTGAGGAGATTTCCTGGTTGTTACATTGTCTTCTATTGAGTTCTTCCCTTGGTTGATCTGCAGCTTCCCAGGTGTTAATTGCTGTGTGCTACCTTGTTACACATTCAATCACTGATTCACTTGCTCTTTCAGGGGCCCGCCTGATACAGAGAAGGACAGTTTGATTCCTGCCCTTGTTAACATTGTTACAATGTATAACTTACTAAAACACATTTAGTTGAAAGTTGAAAGGTGAGGAGTATAAAATATAAGCTACAAATGCCATGGCACACAAATAGATAAAAATACCAAACTACAAGGGGAGATACAAAATGCACGCACACAAATTTTAAAACACAATTCCTTATCTTAAAGTGAAAGAGAGAGGAAGGAAGAAAAGGTAGAAAAAGAGAAACATATCCAAAGAGGGGAGAGTAAATGCAGGCAAGAGGAAAAGGGGGCTTTCTGCTACACCATGTGTGCCATAGCTCCTGCTCTTTGTCCAGATATTTAATTAAGCTAAATTTTAGCTTGCTGTGCCACAGACTTTTCAAACTGATAATTGCGGTGAAAAGGCTGTCACAGAGGAAATGGGGTTCAGTGAATGGGTGACAGGAAGACAGGCTTTCGACATACAAGTAGGCAAGAGAAGCAACCTGAGGTGGTGGGATAAGCACATCAGTTGGTTCCTTTAGGTAAAATGATCAGGAATTAAGAGAGTTAACAGTGTGAATACTTTCCTTTAGGTTTGACTGTTAATAACTCTTAAATATGATATTAAGTTTGATATGAAAGAGGGTTCTCACACTTTTTAATTAATCTATTCAAGACTTGCATCATAATCAGGTGGTCTGGAAACTTTTTTTTTCTTTTAAACAGAAGCTTTGTTAATCATGCATAGAACTAAATTCCAGATGCCCTTGTTGTCTGTCAGCCTATAAATTCTGTGGAGAGGCTATTATTTTCTCTCAAATTCTCTAGAACCCTTGCATGAGGGTTATTTGTTCAGAGACTTATCCAGAAATCCTGTGAGCTGTTTACTTGGTTTTCTGTGTCTTAAATGTTTTTTTTTTCTCCTCTCTATCCCTAGCGGAAGTCTTCCACCAGCTGTCTCAGGCTTTAACTGTACTAACCGATGCAGCAGCAAGGGTAAGGATGCCCATCTCTTGGTCATGGTGATATGTGCACATTGTTCATATCTGTTAGTGTACATGTCTAAGTGGAGAAATAATGGAAGTTGTCCTTTCTTTCCTGTCTCACATACTTTGCCCCCTTTATAACTCTGAGCCTTCAGGATTATCTGTTACATCCTGTGCATCTTTTTATAAGGAAGTTCCTTGTTCCAGTATGGCTTTTTGGCCATCAGAGCTCAGATGAGGATAGACAGAAAACCAAGGCCAGTGTTTTGGGTCCCATCTGCTATGTATATATTTCCATCAGAAACAGTGTGCTGAGTAGAAGAGAACTCTGAAATATTATGTTTAAACTACGTGTCCTTGGCTAACAACAGCAAACAAAGTAGGCTTCGATTCAGAGACTGAATACCTGCAATTTCTTTTGATCCCCCGACTGCTGTCTCCACAGTCGTGATTAGACTTATGAAGAACTGAGCAGTGAATTCTTTAATTTCAAGGTGCATTTCTCTTTACTATATATGAATCTTGTTCAGTTTCCCAAGAAAGTCTACAAAATCTAGTATAGGTGCACCAATATATCGGATTGGCACCGATAAAAGGGAAATATACGCTATTGGCTTTTTTTGTTGAGTTTAGCTGGTAATGTTCACCAATAAATATAATTAATTATGCCTTCTGGCCAGGGCGCCTAAACACCTCTGTTCCCTCTCACCCTCGGGGCCAGGGCCCTCGGATGCCTGGGTTCCCTCAGGAAATGGCAGGTTTCCCCTTGCAGGTGGGCAGCATTCCACCCTGCAAGGGATCCTGCTTTGGGGCTCCCAGGAGCGAGGCATGGGGCACTGCATGCATATGCACGGCCTCATGCATACACATAGCCAGGAATGCAGCCGGGCAGTGTGGAGAGCAGCTCCCTGCAGGTAAGTCTATGGAGGGAGGGGGTGTAGGTGGGTAGATCAAGACCCCCCCCAGGGTGAGGGAGGGAGTGGGGCAGGGGCTGCTGCCCAGCCAGTTCAAGCACCCCCACTGCCATTGTTAAGCTCCGGGACGCTGATCCACTGGACAAGCTGCCTGCAGCTCTGTCCTACGCCCCGCCCTCTCTGGGCACTACCCCCTTCCCCTGCCCCATTCCCTCCCTCAAAATTCCACTTCACCCAAAGATCTGTCAAGAAAGGGAAAAAAAAAACTCGTCTCCTAGTCTAAAGTTAAACGAATACTTTAAGACATGCCTGACTTCACGTAGCATTGTGTGTCACTCAGTTCAGTTGGGATTTGCAATGTGTAGTTTAAACATGTGCATGACTCTGAGATGGATAAGGGCCTTACCTACCACTGAGATGCTATAAAGATTAATGGGCTAGGTTCTCAACTAACATAAATCAGCATAACTTCACTGCTCCCTGTAAAAGAGCCAGAGCTGTAGCTGGTGCCATAAGATCTATACTGTGTTATGTAACTGCTGAATCTGATATTTCTAGTGAAGAATTACAGGTGTCACCAATTAGACAATATCTTCTAAGTCAAGTCAAGCTATACATCCAGCTGTGAGTAAAGTTATCCTATATATTAGACATTTTTAGTGTAAAACTTTGCTCTAAGCAAACTCCAATCTGTCACCATCAGACGTAAATTAAATAATTATTCTGACTCATTTTGTGCCAATGCCACCAATGGTTGCTTATAGCTGGCTCAGGAAACCAAAATGATCTCACTTCTAAAGGTGGGTCATGGTTTCTCTCAAAAATATTTTAGGATAATTCCTGGGTCTGGCACCCTTTACACTTCACCTTTCCATGCTACAACTTGAAGTGGTCGGTCCTGTTTTGTTCTTCTGTTTTCTGAGTACCTGAGCTGACATCCAGTTTTTTTCATGAAAGCCCCCAGCACTAGGTGGAAAAAAGGTCTAGCTCCAGTTTTACAATGTCTCAGTAACTGTCATGCCTCACTTTCTCCCCAAGTTTTACAGCATGTCATCCTTTCTGCTGTTCCCTTAAACAGGCAGCATATGACAGAGTGAGAAAAGCGAAGAAGCAGGCAGCAGAAAGGACTCAAAAACTTGACGACAGAAGGAAAAAAGTGAAACTTGGTATGAAAATCGACACTGCTCCCTTTTTCCATGGGGTAAAGTCTAAGACAGTGGGAGATTTTTGCATTTCTTCCACCCCTAGAATTCCCTATTTCCCGTTAAACTTCTTTTCCCCATAGTGGCTGAACTCTTGTGTCATTCCTTGTGGAACTCCGGTTGTTCAGATTTCCCCCTGGGATCAACCCCTGCAAACAGCAGAAGGGGGATGGGGTGAAGCCTTTTTTGAGTTTTCATAGAATTATGGGTTTGAAGAAGGGATCCTCAGGTCCTGTACTCCAACCTCCTAAACACATGGGACTTGTTTTGCTGAATTAATGATGCAAGTTGCTCATTGCTGAACCTGGATGTAGATGGGAGGTTGGGACTACCCTTCAGGAAGAGAGTTGAGGGCAGGAACAATAAGAACAGCCAAGTCTAGGTAGAGAGTTTTGGCTCCTGGTGACGTGTCACTTGGCTTTGTAGACCACTGTGGCAATAACTGGAAATGTGTTTTGCAGACCTTGAAGCCCGGGAACGAGAAGCCCAAGCTCGTGTAAGCGAAGAGGAAGAGCTCCAAATAACCAGAACATTAGAGCAAGAGGTAATGGGAACCATTTGTGGGTTGATCCACTCCTAGCAGAAATGTGGGCAAGACCCTTTGGGCAGATAGCCATGATGGTGAGCTTAGACTTGGATTGTCAAGCTCAGAGGGTAGTAATCAATGAACTGTCTAGGTGGCAGCCAGTCTCAAGTGGAGTGCCCCAGGGGTTGGTCTTGGGGCCAGTTTTGTTCAATATCTTCATCAACGGCTTGGATGATGGGACAGAGTGCACCCTCAGCAAGTTTGCAGATGACATCAAGCTGGGGAAGTAGTAGATATCCTGGAAGGTAGGGCTAGGTTTCGGAGAGACCTCAACAAATTGGAGGATTTGACCAAAACAAATTTCATGAGGTTCAATATGGAGAAGTGCAAAGTGCTGCACTTAGGATGGAACAATTCCATGCACCAATACAGGCTGGGGGCTGACTGGCTGGGCAGCAGCTCTGCAGAAAAGGACCTGGGGGTTACAGTGGACAATAAGCTGAATATGAGCCAACAGTGTGCCCTTGTTGCCAAGAAAGCTTACAGCTACTGACCTGCGTGTGTTGCCAGCAGATTGAGGGAAGTGATTTTCCCCCTTTATTTGGCACTGGTGAGATGACATCTGGCATATTATGTCCAGTTTTGGGCCCCTGTACTACAGAAAGGATGTGGACAAATTGGACAGAGTCTGATGGAGGGCAATGAATATGGTTAGGGTGTTGGGGCACATGACTTAAAAGGAGAGGCTGAGGGAACTGGGCTTATTTAGTCTGGAGAAGAAGAATAAGAGTGAATTTAATAGCAGCCTTAAACTACCTGGAGGGTGGTTCCAAAGAGGATGGAGCTAGACTGTTCTCAGTGGTGGCAGTGACAGAACAAGAAGCAATGGTCTTAAGTTGCAGCAAGGGAAGTTGAGGTTAGATGTAAGGAGGAACTGTCTCACAAGGAGAGTAGTAAAGCACTGGAACAAGTTACCCAGAGTGGTTGTGAAACCTCCATCCTTGGAGGTTCACAAGACCTGGGATCTAGTTGGGGCTGGTCCGGTCCTGCTTTGAGCAGGGGGTTGAACTGGATGTCCAACCCCTGGACCCCTGAGGTTCCTTCCTACCCTAATTTTCTATGATTCTATAAATTTGCATGAAGTATGGCTTAGTGCAAAGCTTTGGGAATAAGCGATTCTGTGAGCCCATAGGAAGAGGGGTGTCTATGTGAGATAATCCTGGCCTCAGATGTTTGGGGAGGGAGTCTTAGCTGAGCCCTCAGTGGAAAAGGGGTAAAAAGGGTTAATGGTTTAGCTTTCACTTACCATGGGGTAAAAACAGAATTGCTGGTTGTCTGTGTGCTCTCACCCTGACCTACAGGCAATATAAGTTACAGGTAAGTTACATTGATATAACTGGCTCATATGTGCACCTTATTTGTTCACTTTTTGTCTTGGCTACAGATCATACGTCTGCGTGAAGAGGGCTCCAGGCAGTTAGAAGAGCAGCAGAGGCTCATTCAGGAACAGATCCGGCTTGAGAGAGAGCAAGTCCAAGGTATGGGCAGATGAGATTGGAGCCTTTGTCCAAACCAAATGCTTCACAAGCCCCCAAATTTTCATGAGTTAACATGCAGGGGCACCACTCCCTACTCATTAAACACCCACATCTCAGCTTCCTGTATGGCACCCTGGTGAGAACTGCGTGTGGAGGCAGGTGGTACTAATAGT